TGAAATATTATTTTAATCGTTATGGAGTTCTTTACGCTTTGCATGGCTCTAGAATGTAAACACCCGTCCCCGGACCAAATAATCTCTGATTTCGCGAAGGTGTGAACATTAAAGACCGAGTAAACATACGAACAAATACATAAGTTCATCTCTTCGGCCTGTACAAACGCTCACGAAAGAGACCAGTGCTTAAAATATCAGGTATACAAATGACTCTTAGTTACTAACTACTTCCACAAAAGCGTTGCTGCCTTACGTTCATCATTCGTCGATGAATAAATTCCGAAATCTTGAAAATAAATTATCCCACAATACTACCAATTAGCCTGATTACATGCATTACAGACATTATCAACCTTTACCTTGAAGCATTTCATAACATTCGACAACAAAGGAGAGGACAGAATAATTACAATACTCATTTTCACCGAACGTCGTGGTCGAGTAGTTAGCACTCCTGCTCCGTATTCGAGAGGTCCTGGTTTCTGACCTCGGCCTGGAGACCGGCTGAGGTTTTCGTGGTTTTCCTCAGTCAAATTAGACCACGACCACCAGTTCCAATTCATTATCCTCCCATTCGATGCTATACAGTCTGAATTACTGAGAAACTTCTTATATAAGCTATAAGTAAATCAAATACACAATTTTACTATAGACTGATGAAGTAAAAATCTACACCTTACCGTACTTACAAACATTTGTTGACTTTGGACTTTCACTTATCGCACAAGCTGCACACGGAGTGAACTCAACTTCGCTGCCATCTACCGGCCGCGCTGTTCAGCATACACCGCGCAACCTCAGATATACATTATTCCATGTGTGTTTCAAGAATCAGTCGCCAGATGGCTGGCTATATAATATTACGTCATTGATTCATAACCAACTTACCATCATCACTATTTAAAGTTACTGTACATGTAGTGCAGTATTAAAACTTCCTGCGACTAAAACATTGCAGAACGAACATGTTCGTTACGCATGAAACAAAAATTACTTTAACCGTCGTATGAATTTTAGGAAGTCTTTCATCGTAAGTCACCACAGCAAAATCCTAGAACCAACAAAATCACTACGTTTCGAAGAGAGTATCTTCTTTCGAAACGTGTCTACAGACTGGGGATACAGAAGATTCTAGTTAATTGGGCCATCGGTTAATCAGGCCTTTTTAACTCTTTACGTGGAACTTCGCATAATTGGGCAGCCGCTTAATTGGGCCAAAGTGTTCTAGTTCCTATGTGTCCCAATTAAACAGAATCCACTGCAATTCGGTCTACAGAATCCAACAGAATACGAGTTTCTCTCTTCCCCCCCCCCAACCTAAAGACGAAAGAACATCCGTCCCTCGAAAACTCGTCACTTTAAAGTTTTCGGATTTTTAAGACTCAATAAAGAACACGATGGATAAAATCCAAAGAAAGAAAGTATTAACATAAGATCATCGCAAAAAGACATTCAGAGAACAACTTTAAAAATGTTTAAAAAAACTATGAACGCCATAATATGAATACTGACTCACCTGGCTCGGGAAGTGGGGAAGAGGGACTCTCTGGCATGAGAATACCCTTTTGTACAAGTTCGTCCCTGTTGGCCCTTACGGATATCTTCCGCTCCAAGGCTACAAACGAAACAGGAAAATTAACCGTTAAAAACACAAACGCATGCGTGCATTTGTATATAGGCCTATATATGTACACCCATACTTATTTAACTTAGAGCTACGGTATTTTAGCGCGTAAGGAAATAGCAGCAGAACAGGTTTTCTTGACTTCTTGAAATTTCACTGCACTCATTCAAAACTGAAAAGCACAAATGTCATTCAGCAACCTATATGAAGATAAATTGACAACGACTGTTTCATTCAACATGCAGTTATTAAATTCACAGCTCGAGTTTCGCTAAGGAACATCAACATTGCTGCTAGACGTTAGGCTATTAAAGAATCAGAAACTTACTTTCTGATTTTTAATAATATTTAAAATAGAGCCTGTTTTCGTCAGCTTCAAGAAAAGACAATTACGTTCAAAAGAATACCAATTTCAAGCACGACACCATGAAAGCGAATGGGGAGAGGAGATATAGGTCCCCTCATTCGCAGGAGACAGATCAGTGGTCAGCTTAACCCCTGCCTGCTTTACCACCGGGGAAACAACCCCACTGGATAGAACGGGTAGGCGTTGGGCCTTGTATGGAAATGGTAGCGCGGAAAAGAATCTCTTATTCATACTGGCGCTGGACCAAATATGTAAGTCTATAAATAGCTCAAACTGATGTTCCGATAGATTTTCGAACCTATAAAAATGGTTAATAAATCATTAAAAATGCGGAAACCCTGATGTGTAGGCAGAGTAAGTCTCCTAAACGTTGGTTTCTGAGCACCGTACGTATTTTACTGACTGGAAATGCAATGCAGTACATCATCAAATACGCCTAGATTTCGGCTATTTCAAATCCGCATTATGAATAACTGCATATCTCCAACAAATTAGTAGTAACGAATACTGCATTCCAATCGTGGATATTAACTACAACATGTTTTGGTAACCAGAAAATTAAGGCACAATAATAATAATATCCTCCCGATAACATCTTGTTCTATAAACGAATTTTTATATTAATATAAAGTTAAAAGGGACCATGGAGCTTCAGTTTTAAACACTAGAATTAGACCAGTTCTAATTTTAAACAAATTTAACATATTTTAACGAATAGTTAAGGCTTTCTGTAAAGGAATTTTCTTTATGGAGATAAATCGTTACTGCAAGCTTCTCATGTAACACGTATAAACTTTAGAAACACAACAAAATTATGGTAGTAATTTCTGGGCGACAAAAATTAATTTTCTGGACACATAATGGACGACTGACATGGGCGTTTCCGTATGCAGTAACATTTTACTAGTTTCGACTCTGCTTCGGTAAGATCATAACGCAGAACCGTAGTGTTCCAACGCCAGCTGTTGTTGTATGAATGCCTACGCCCACGTTCTGTAAGTAGGCAATCGATATAACTGAATTCCCCATTTTCTAAAGACACAGTTTCTCCTTTCATTTATTTCCAGAAAGCAATGCTATTAAAACAAAGCACGGGCGTATTTTAACCACGTGACAATTACATTCCATTTTAAGAAGTACCTACTTCCCGTTATAACACTTTCCATAACCGTGTACTTTAAAAACGATGGAATAAAGTACAAGCGACAAAAGAAACAAAGGGAAAGAAGACGCAATGCGAAGGAATAAGACAATGTACAAGGAAACAGTAGTGCCGGGATAGTATCACGACGCTTCCGTCCTCATCCCTAGAAATTCATTACTCAGTACGGTGAATCATACACAGAGGAAATTAACTGCATGAAACTGGATGCGTAGAGCTGAAGATTGAGACAGTATGTTTCTCCGAAATTATGGTCTCTACTTAACAGTCTACAAGGCGCCACAACCTACAATAATATCATCTTCACCACCGTGAGAAACTCAGATTCATCTTGCGTGTTGATCAGAAACAGTTTAGATGGAACTTATTACACGAAACCAGTTTCATACAATTGATTTCTTTGTGTATACGCCGCATAAGGAACCTGCCATTCGACGCCATAGACTAATCTGAGCTACTGAAATCATCAGTACAAAAACTAGTCTATACACAGAACGAACACTGCTAGCCAGACCAGAGAATTCGCCACTGCTCAAAATATATTCAGGTACTGAGTAACATGTTATGTATTCATAAATACTATCTACATTCTGACATCATTCCCGAGAAAATATAACATCCGTACCAACACGTGAAGTCTATAAATGTCAACAACTTTATTAGAATATCCACTAGAGAAAATACTGGGTGGGCAGTATCATATTCTTGGTGGGAATCGAACCCTGATTGTCCAGTTCAAGTATCCTAACATGACTCTGTTTTTCAAATAAAGTCAAACTTTCAATGGAAGCCATCCACCCATTGGCGATACAGCCCAAGCCGAGCCCTGACCTACCCATTTTCAATGGAATACAATTCAGTAGTGGCAATTTGTAGTATTCAGAAAATAGAAGGTTACACATATGATACTCGGATGACTTTCATTCTGGGAAATCTTAATAATTACCACCACTTTCTGTCCATATACAATGGCAGAATGATACTTACATCGTGAAGCTGCTTCGAATTTGTCGGATTTTTTCTTTCTTTTCCACTTCCATGGCTTGAATAACCTTCCTAGAGCGGAGAATTTGCTTTTCCTTTCCAATGGAGGTGTCCTCGTTCCTGATCCAAGACTGTTCGTTCGTATGGCCGCCCCATTTTGCTTCTTCGCTGCAAAAACGAAAAAAAAATGTAAATCTCACATCAGAGGACCGGAAACTGTCAGATATCATGGCGTAGATAATGACTCTTATATGCAGAACTTTATTCAAACAAGAACAGATTTCCTCTGCACTGCTGATGCTGGGCGATAAACACACAAAAACTTAAACCAAACTTACAAACTCATCTCTCGAATAAGGTAACTCATTTTGATAAAATACAGTGCAAAGCATACGCTAACGTCAGGTAGAATTCTGTGGGCGAATTTCTGTAGGCTAACTCTAAAGAATGCATAGACCAGTACTAAATATGCAATACGTAAACGAGAACCTTAAGTAAAAGAGATGATTTACTTTTACAAAGGTATCAAATGTTCTGATAAATATGACACATTTCGGAAAAATATTACAGTGAAATGCCGTGCAGCTTTTAAATTTTATCTCTGAAACAAATATATCTGTTACGTTGTAGTTTGTATATATTATTTACCAACTGCTGAGCCAATTTAGAGTCAAACGAGTGGTTGGCTATAAAAAGGGAAATGAAAAGTGTTTGGATATGTTTCAAGGTACTACCCTCGGTGACAGATGACTGTAATGGGAAAACTTTTCTCACAGGACAGCATGCGTTCAATGCAACTCACTGCAGCATTAAATTTGTTACATGACTTCAGCTAGTTGTAGGAAATCGATTCGAAGCAAGAGATGCGAATTCTTCTAACTAACCGCCTCCCCCAATGCATTTAGGGCCCGCTATTCACAGAGTACCGGGAATAAAGTGGATGGAGCACGTAGCTGGCCACTGCCATCGTGTCCACTTTTTGCCTTCACAATGTGGCGTTCAGACAGACGGGCAATTTTACCTTTCACATCCATAATATGTACTTCACATCTAATCTTGTTAGTGGCAAGAATAAGGGGAAGAAGAAATAGGTACAAAGTTTTGGTTGCAAGCCCTCATGGAAAGAATTCACTTGGAAGACACACACGAAGATGGGAGGATAATGTAGAATGAATATGGGATATGTAACACGTACAATTAATTCGTGGCCGGCTTTTGTGATGAAGGTGACAAACTTAATATATCATATCAGGTTAGATCTACTCATCACTGACTACATAACTATTTGCTGAGGCAAGAAGACCTTATAACATGGGGTTTGTTGCTCAGTTTAGGTTATGCCATAGCTACTCACAGTTACGTACAGTCCTTAGTAGTCTCTTATGAATGAATTCGTCACTATGCTTTACACATTTTTTACATTTGCTCACCAACCACCGTAGAAGGGTTTCAGAGTTTGTAAAGTCACAGATGGCTACCGGCGAGTACCACAACGACTAGTAACATTGGTAATACCGTACCTTTACTTCTCATGGCAGTGGCTAATAATTTCACTGTATTTAAGCACTAACTAATTTCGCCCCTCCGATGTACACTGTGTTAAGTGACCAACCAGTCAGTCAATAAATTAAATTAGCCAAGAAGTAGGTGAAAAGACTATTATACTTTATGGAAATATGAACGGTTTCAAAACACCACACTATTTGAAAGTAAAAAGATAATTCAATCATAATCCAACTAGCCTATAAATAATAGAAACTTTTCATAGAAAATCTCAATGTAATGTAACCCCTAAGTTCACCGTAAAAAAATAGTTCATCGCCGGACCCAATCATAAACCAGTTCATACCCACAGAAATTATTTCCTTAAGATTAATTGTAATATTTTCTCCAGTCTCCTTCCTGGTCTCCTAAGTGGTCTATTTTAAATCCTGCTTACTTCCCACCCATGCAGATGGAAAACTTACGTAGAAGGAAGTTATGAAGTTTGAGAAACTAACGGATCAATATCATTAATTTGTCAATCAACACAGTTTATCACAACAATCACACGCGCTATGTGTGTTGTCTTAAATGTGCCTATACAAGATGTCCAACTATGACGGACTTTAAAATAAAAGTAGGTTTGCAAATTAACTGAAAAACTTGGAATATTTTTCTCCCAAACTGAAGCTTGTTGATGACTGCAGCTGTCAAAGCAAACTGACTCACTGTGATTTCAGAAACTACTACTGAACTTTGTATTTAGACAGCTCTAATCACTTCATAACCACGCAATCCAATTCGTTAAAGCCCACTTTAGTATTATTCTACCTCCTACGCCTAACTGTATTTCAATATTATTTTAAACTAAAATATCTACACAAGCATTCACAAAATATACCGCACGGGAAAGACTCGACGTATAAGAAATAAATTAAAAACATTACAAATTAACTACACACTGTTGCCAATCTGTGAACACAATCCGCTGTCTCTCGTGTAAGGCGAGGTTTAATAATCATAAACTGTTTTAAGAATACGACGTACATGATGAGGGAAAAAGCCTGATTTTGCAGGATGAACTCACAAAGCACACGAGTAAGGTGCCTTAAGATGTCCCTCCCCTCCGTCTATAACGGCTTGTGAGGCTATCTATTGTCTGCATCATCGTGTACCGACGACATTTAAAATGTGTGCAAACGTGCTTCTTACGACAGTGACGTATGTTCACAAAAACGATGTGACTAGTGAAACGCATTAATGAACTCACCCGGAAATTAAATGGAAAGGATCGCAGTCGAATACGAAGAAGTCGAAGGCTACAGAGAACCTTCGCCAGAATATCATGTCCGGGGAATGATCTATGGGTCTCCGAATGAATTATAGCTCTCAATGATGATTACAAATAGACTCAACATATTCTATAAGCAACCCACAGATTTTTCGCCAGGCCGAATAAAATCTATTAATAAAACAGATTTTGCTAATGACGGCGGGCTGGAATTAGAATTAAATGATGTTTTCAATATAAACTCAGTAGGAAGCAGGATCGAATCCCTCCTAGGTCACATCGTAGCTAAGCAGTCTATTCACTGTTAATAATCATTTATTCTTGGAGGTTCTCCTATCGATTTGTCCCAGATCAGATAAAACCAGGGCTAATAAGGAACAGAACTAATTTCTGGACGTTCAAACACGACAATACATGACACTGACTATTACCATTATTAAACGTTAAACACACAGACCTACAGAGAATCTCTCGTAGTATTATTTCCATCAGAATGATACGAATTTAAAATACTAAACTGAAAAGGTAAGAAAAAAACAGCACGGCAACATCCAGTTTCCATGTTTCGGGAGTAGACCTGCAGGCCCTCTAAATCTAAAGGCAGAGTACTCATATTACGAAACAGTTTAAGGGCTGACTTTAACTGAGCCCTTGTATCTGCGTGATCTCCCTATCATTAAGTCCACTCGTCTTTCTCTGTTTCTCGATTTCTACGGGTCTAAAATGGATTAAACTGGCACTGATAGTACTAGCACGGTGTAAAGTAACTCGCGGGTACAGCACCACGCTACTCTCAAGACACACAAAGGCTGCGAAAAATATAATCATTTTATTCTCAGATCTCTAAACAAAGGGAGGGGGTAATCAGCTTCCTCTTTAGTAATACTTGGGTAGAAATCGAAGTCATTCAGCGCTTGTTGTTAAAGCCGGTTCGAATTTCGGCCTACTACGTGTTCCACCTATTCTGTATCATATAAAATCTTAACTAATTACAGTCTAATGTAAAGGATCTTTAAGAAGGTGTGCCATTAACATGATGCATGTCCTTGAACATTCTCTTTCGTCTTTGTTTGAAATAATACCACGACGTTTCGGAAGCTGGCTCTGCTTCCGTCATCTGGTGAAAGGCCCAATCAATTGGGTCCAATGTGCTGACATTAGGCTGTTCATGAAGCAGAGCCAGGTTTCGAAATGTTTCAGGATTTTTAAAACTAACACAAAGCAAAATGTCAAAGAATATGCATCAGTTTAAATGAATCCTGTCCTGCGTGTAACAAAGTTGACTCGATTACATAAATTTCGTAACGAAGAACATGTACGTTCGATTTTATCAAAATATCCCAACCGAAATCAGAAGGATACTGTAACAATCTGTCGCACTCCCGCTCCATGCAAAATGAATTATAATATAAATCTGACAATATCGGGACCATTACAGCGAGACTGTCTGAACATGCACAGAACGATAGCTTCATGGCTGTCTCGGTTTCCTCGTCGCTTTCCAGCATCTCCGCTGCAAGGGTCCTTTCTTCAATAAATCGAGCCGGTTTTAAGTGCATATTGCAAATTACAGCCCTTTACAGCTTCTGTGGCGTCTCCCTCACACGACGAATGACGAGCAATCGCGGGATAAATGGGGTAAAGTAAGTCTGTCAACTTACACGAATTCCAAGGGTCAGGAACCCTTTAAAAACGCGTTTAAGACAGAGATGTAAGTATAGGCTACATGGTTCTTTAAAGAAACATTACGCTTACTTGGCTAAAATAGAACTAGCGGCAATCCTCTTAAGAGCGGACTTTTACAACAGATTTCCTAAATTGATTTTTGTTTAAGCCAGACAGACCCCGATTAATAAGCAACCCGCTTAATCCGCTGCCGGATATTTAGTGTCTACAGTACAGCATAATTTGTTTTGCAACATGCATTTCCATTTTCTATCAAAGTACATACCACGATAAAACTTCAACCAATCAGAGTACGCGGTACACTAGCACGCGTTTAATTAACTGGTTCAAATCGCAGCTGCTTCTCATCTGAATATTTGGTTTTACCCTAATTTTCCGGGGAAATGTTAACTTAAGAGGGCCACGGTGAGTTCCCTGTCCTCTTACTATCCTGCGTCTACTTAGACATTACGCCTAAGAAATAACTCCGCGTCTGTGACGAGGCTAATCAATTGCAACCGCCAATCGACACTTCCGCTGTACCTATCACTGCAACACTGACAAATAGGAATCAGCCTTCCAGTCTCTGGCAGAGAAGAGGGAAAAGAATGAAAACAAATGGGAGAAGGAAATGGACAAATAAAGGAAAGAAACATAAGAAGGAGAAAGACAAAGAAAAGAAGCAGGTTAATATTGATTAACATCTTAACACACCCAGAGTTCTACATCC